GAGAGTGAATATTGGTAAAAGTAACACCAAATTGATGGGGGAACACATGATTACTTGCAATGGTTCATCAAATGTAATTAAATTGTCTAATTGATGTATATATACACTCTAATTGTAATACTAGTTGAAGCGTATATCCTTACCATCTCCAACGCCTTTTCTTTCGGCTTCAAGAGTTGCTTTTATGAACATCTTGATGGTCTTGCTCTAGAGGCGTATAGAAAAATTCGCCGAATGAGAGTCATAATGTCTAGTGCAGTATCTCATCTGCTCACGTTAACTGGTGTTTTTATTTTTTGTTTTTTTTCATTTTGAAAGATTTACATACGTGCCACTTAGTTCATAGTATTTGATATACGATCAACCATACACATTTTCATGCATAACTTTATGTCGTTAAAGTGTTAGAAGTATAAATACCAATATCAAACCACAGATATGGAAATACATAAGAATTATGTGGTATGCATGTAAATTTTTCTTTAGTATATCAATAGGAATAAAACTGTGTTTTTCATGGTGCTCCAATATGTTGCGCTTTGATTTATAACAAAACGAAATCCTCATGAGGATAGTTTGAGCTCTCATCTTGACCTTGTTTTCTTAGAGACAATGTGAAATGAATATATTCGTGATACGGTTGGTGTAGCTTCAGTGACCGACAAAATTAGAGAGAGTCGTCTTAGATGGTTTGGTCACATTAAACGTCGACCATCTGACAATTAGGAGAGCAGAGCAGATGTTTTAGATTCGACTTATTTTAAGAAAGACAGAGGTAGACCTAGGAAGACCTGGGCTTATTGTGTAAAAAATGATCTTAATTTGTTAGAACTAAATAAAAATATGACACTAAATAGGACTCAATGGAGAAAAAGGATTCATGTAGCCGAACCCACGTAGTGGGATTAAGGCTTTGTTGTTATTGTTGTTTACACACACATAGCACCCAAAACATTGCTATTTGCAATAGCATCCTCTTTCATTCATTTTTAAAATTACCCACTCAAATATCAAAATTCATGATAACATCCCTACCATGTTTTTCATTTTTATTAAATTCTCAATGGTTTGATAGTGGCACGTGTAAATACATTGGTATACATTGATTCGGTAGTTCAAAAATCTCTTGGATGCTAGATTTTATAAATAGAAGTGTTTTTGATGCTATGTATGTAGTTATTTTTTTTAATGCATCATTCTCCATGACTTTACATCACGTCGCACACACGCACATACGGAAATTTACATACGTAGCACTCAATTCTTATGCTGGATTTCACCATTGAAAAGTCTGATTATTACTATTGTTGATGTGATAGGAAAGAATTGGGTGCTGTGTTTGTAAAAATAAAATTTTTAATGTGAGATATTATGCGATATATGTGTCTAAATTCAACATATATATATATATATATATATATATATATATATATGGAGGAATGTGTAAACTATTTTCTAAGCCTCTTCTTTTTGCTTGAAGGGAACTGATGTGAGCATCTTGAACGGTCTTGTTCCGGAGGCTTAGATAAAGTGTTTACAGGTTGTAATTTGGCTTTTTTACATTTATACCACCCAAATATACACATTAATCCAATGCAATTTTTATTATTTGTTTACTTCACTGAAGTTGTTTGCTAATATTTATTTATATTCTTTGATGGTAAGATAGTTTATTTGCAACTTATATGCTATCTTATATACAATTTATTAGATTGTCGCATTGTTTAGGTTTATAAAATTTATTGCATGAGTACTGATTACATGCTTTTCAGTTGTAGTGCTTCATCATATAATCTCATTTAGCACAGATGAATGACATTACTAAAAGGAGAAGTGTCTTAAGAAGGGTGGTAACAACCTTGATTCTATTAAAAAAAGATTGATTTTAAAAGGGTCCCAACCTTCTCGACGCTCGACCTAATTCAAATGTCCGAGTGACCCTCAGACGAATCTCTTAGACTGCATGATTTAGCTTTTGGATTAGGTTTAGGTTGCTAGCGCACGAAGTTTGTTGAGTTGCTTTAGGAAGCTATTCACGAGTCGAGTGTTTGTCTGGGATAATTTTTTTGCACCATTTTTAGTTCATGAAAGTTGTCATTGTTGGATTTGTTTCAATTTGAAAGATTTTCAAATTCACAAAACAATTGTCATGTTTTTGAACCGTCTTCTTTGCCGCTAACCACCGCTGACCGTCTCCACTGCGGCCAGCCGCTGCTCATTGCAGTCGCCCGCCTCCTCCGCCGCCCATCCTACACAGTTGGCCTCTTGCTATCAGTAGTCACCAATAGCCACCATCCTCCACCACCACTCACCTCTGCCAGCAGCCGCCCTCCGCCGCTGCCAGTCGCAACCATTCATCGTCCCCAGTCCCCACCAACGTATTATTTTTTGAAATTTCTCATCTTCATTTTTACTTCAAACCAAATAATTAAAAAAATATTTTAAATATAATATATTATTCTTATATCATATTCTTATTGCAATGCAACCTTTTTTTATGAAGTCCAACCAGCCCTAAAAAACATGCGTCGAAAGCGGCGTAGGATTTTGTCCCATATTATGCTTACGTAGGATTTTTATTCTTATATGGTGCCAGACAATTATGATCTAAAACATAAAATACTTTGTTCCTTTCCCTATTAACGCCGACCTAATACTGTCCTTATACACCCTCATAATTCACCTTCTCTAGCTGCGTTTATTCCATTAAGCAAATTATTTATTATGCAATAATTTAATTCATAAATCAATAATGTAAACCTGCACTCATGAGCTTAACTAATTTATAATGCGTTAGGTATGCTATGAGCATAAGTGCCACCCAATTCTTATAAGATGTTTAAGTACATAAGAATTGCATTGTATACATGTAAATTAGGGCTGAAACGAACCGAGCTTGAGCGAGCTCAGGCTTGGCTCGTGTTCGAAATTGGCTCGTGTT